GATTAAGAATTCCTCATATCAGTGAGATCATATGATACATGTCTTTCTCTGATTGACTTATTTCACTCAGCATAATACCCTCCAGTTCCATCCACTGCATCACTGCAAATGGCAAGATTTCATTCCTTTTGATGGCTGCATAATATTCCATTGTATGTGTATGTATATGTGTGTGTGCGTGTGTATATATATATCTTCTTTATCCATTCATCTGTTGAAGGACATCTTGGCTCTTTCTGTAGTTTGGCTATTGTGGACATTGTTGCTATAAACATTGGGGTGCCCGTACCCCTTCGGATCACTACATTTGTATCTTTGGGGTAAATACCCAGTAGTACAATTGCTGGGTCATAGGGTAACTCTATTTTCAACTTTTTGAGGAACCTCCATACTGTTTTCCAGAGTGGCTGCACCAGCTTGCATTCCCACCAACAGTGTAGGAGGATTCCTATAAGGGCAATTCTAAGAGGCTCTGGGAAAAGCAGTTTTTAAAAACCAGCCACGGGGCGCCTGGGTGGCTCAGATGGTTAAGCGTCTGCCTTCAGCTCGGGTCATGATCCCAGGGTCCTGGGATCGAGCCCCACATTGGGCTCCCTGCTTGTGGGGAGCCTGCTTCTCCTCCCACTCCCCCTGCTCGTGTTCCCTCTCTCACTGTATCTCCCTCTGTCAAATAAATAAATCAAATCTTTAAAAAAAATAAAAATAAAAAAAAATAAAAACCAGCCAGGAAAAGAGTTACCATAAGAAAGGCATACCAGTGCCATGGGCTCACACTCCAGAAAAGGGCTCTGGAAGGCTTGCGACCCATGCTGCCTTGCAGAGGGACTCTTTATATGATATATTTGGCTTCTGCAGAACCACATGCAGCATCAGTTCTACAAAACTAACCCAGACCTCATCGCATCTTCTTCCTCTTGTGGCAAAGTAGAAAGAGAGAAAAAGCACTGGCTACATCTCAATCAAATGTCCACAGTCCACTTCCAACCTGATAAACATTCCTGGCAACTCCTCCCCTCCTCTGCCCTCCCTTCTTTTTCTTGATGATTCTCTGGGCACTCACAAAAATTATTCTGCATCGAAAACTAAGGCCGCAGAGTAACTAACCAGTAGGTATGTTTGTTTGTTTTTAACCCCGATAAATATCCACCTACTTAAGAGGCCAAAAATGTTATTTTCTCTTTTGAAAAATCTAAGCACAGTTTAATAAAACAGAAGGGTATTAACAAGCTGTTATTTAACTTCTGCGAAGGACAAGAAACGGAGGAGCTCTGTGTCACAGTGTATGTGTTGGTACTGATCCACAGAAACTGCCTTCTCAAGGTAACTCAAGTTGGTCTTGGTATCCAATCCAACTGTCTTTTCTGTCTCACTGCAGAGTGACAGATCACTCTCCGTCCCATTTCAGAGGCAGTGTCCTCCTTCTCATGGCAGGAGGGCTCCTGGTGGAGTTCACTGACTCTCATGGTCTCAAATATCCCTCGACACCAGAGTCCCACATGTGGGTCCTCAGACCTCTATCCATAAAAGGATAAGGAACCAACAGTGAGACTGAGCCCTACCTCCACACTATAAGCAAAGCAATCAGCCATTTGACTTGTAGCGCCTGCACCTTTTACTATTGCAATCAACTCAGTGAGAAAGGGGTTAACATTCCCATGCCACATAGAAGGAAACAGACTCCCCAACTAGTAAGCAGCAAAGGCAAGATGTGGACCCAAGTCTCTATGATTATGAATTCATTCAAACATCATGGTTTCTTCACACTGTCTCCCTGGCAACTTTACTGGATATCTCCAACTGTTAAGTTTAAGATGGCCACAGAATGACAGACTGTCTCCAAAACTGAATTCATCATTAAAAAGACCTACAGTCTTTGTTAAAGAGCACTTTCTCTTAGCATCAAAGACTAAAACACGGGAGTGATTTTTTTTTTTTTTAAAGATTTTATTTATTTATTTGAGAGAGAGAGAATGAGAGACAGAGCATGAGAGGGAGGAGGGTCAGAGGGAGAAGCAGACTCCCTGCCGAGCAGGGAGCCCGATGCGGGACTCGATCCAGGGACTCCAGGATCATGACCTGAGCCGAAGGCAGTCGCTAAACCAACTGAGCCACCCAGGCGCCCAGGAGTGATTTTTTATTTGACGCATTTCCTGTATCTAGTTGGTCACATATACCTTTTCCCTCCTTTCACTCTCTGTCCCTCCTTCCCCCAGGCAATGATATATGGGAACTCATTCAACCTTCACAATCATCCCCCATACTGTATATATTATTATCTCTATTTTACTAACGAAAAAAACTGTTAATTGTCCAAGGTCTTCTAATTGTAACTTCTCTGTCTTTAATGACCCCCACCTTACTATTCCTTTCTCCTTTCTCTTCCCCCATATTACCCCCCCCACCACACACACACAAAAAACAATTCAGATGAGATAAAGGGAAGGAGGGAAGGTACCTAGAAAGGGTGGGAACAATCAGAACCTTTGGGGGAAAACTGACCTGCTTGGATTGTCAAGGACAAGATTAGAATCTACCCCATATGAAAGCTGGGCCAGGGCTGGGCTGGGCAGTTCTAACACAGGGTGAGAACTTTGTCAGGGAAGCTAGGGACCGAACATAGATGCATGGGCTCTCATCCTTGCTTGAAAGTTCCCCACAGTGAAACAAAACGGTTTTCTGTTTTTCTACAGGGGACAATCGAGTTTGATCATAGCATGACTTTTCTGGAGGTCTTCCTGTGGAATACAGCTGCGGACAGGCAGCAAGCGGGAACACAGTGGGAAATGGTTATCATTTG